CTATCCCAGTTTGAAATCAAATAACTGTATCTTGCGTATATCATTTTCGGTGACCGAACTGATGCAAACAAAATGTTCATGTCAAACCTCTGCAAACTCCTTTTAAATGTACTGTTGAGACTACGACCTTATTTCTTGGTGTGTTAATGTACTGTGAAGGCTGTGGAACGGCAAATAGTAAAGCATGCTGGGCAAACATCAAACTGTATTCAAGTCAGAGCTGAAGCTCCTCTCTTTTTTTTTCATTGTCCATTTTTGTGTGGGAAGCTAGCAGAGCAAGCCTGAGTCCCTGTTGACTCAATGTACTGAGACGTTTTCCCTTTTACCATTGCTAAAGTAGGCATGAGCACTAATCCTAAGGGGTTAAATGGAGCCTCCTTTGGGGTTTCCCTATCCTGAGAGAGCTGGGGGCGGCTGCTGCTGCACTGCACTGCTTGCTTGAATGGATTTGGCTGAATTTTGACTTCACTTTCACAAACTACCCAAAGAACTTGCAGCTGAAGACTGAATAATGCAACATGAAAATAGTGCTTTCTGTCTTTTTAGATGTGAAGTTTCCCATGGCTTCCCAGCACACTCAGGTGATAGGAAGAGAGAAAAGAAATGGCGCTAATAATGACATTTTTATGGTCACAGCAGGAAAATTGGGTCTTTGGTACTGCAGCGAGGAAAATTGTGGTTAAATCATCAATCAGATAATCAGAATCAGATGTAAAACAGTTTGAGAATACATAAGAACACAAGTGGAGCACAGGGCATTAAAATAATAATAATAATAATAATAATAATAATAATAATAATAATAATAATAATAATAATAATAATAAGCAATAATAATAATAACCGAGCACCTTTGTTCCAGATTGTTAGACGTAAAAGAGAGAACAGAAAATACCACTGTTTTCAGTTGTGAATACTTTAACTCACTGTTGGAAAAACTGTAGAAGACAAGTGTGCAGCAAAGTGTAACCCAACACGAAAATACGCAAAAAAAGATTCATTCTGGCAAAAAATAATCACCCTCACAAATATTTCTAAATAGAAAACACTACTATTTTTCACATCAAAAATAACCACAGAAGAATGCATTTTTAGAGCCTGTTATAATGTTATTCAGACACTTGATTCAGGCACTTGTAATTATATCAGCAGTAAGACTGTTCACAATGATATCCACTGGAGATAAGGACCATTTACATTTCAAATCGCAGCCATTTTCACAAGCAACACTAAGAAAACATCAATGGCTTTCAAGGTGTGATTGATGGTGTCTTTAATGACACAACTTTTATTTACCAAACACACCAACTCATCTCCTCTTCCCACATCTAGCTGGTAGACTTCCTCAGACGTTCACATGTCATCTTTGATGACTCTGCTCAAAGTAGTTCTTACTGACTTGTGAAAAGTCACAGAATTGACTTTACTGCTTATTTGTGAGATCAGGTATATAAGAAGGCTGCGAACTGTGAGACAGTGCAATTTTGTTTGTAATCTGTAATATATACTTATTACATTACAGGATATATACTTATATTTGTGCTGTATCTTTTTTAATCTTCCTAGATGCACACTCAAAAAACCATGTACAGTAGGTCAAGCATGATCCTCCATCCATGAAAGAAACAGCTCACTTGTTCTATTTTTTTTAAATGGTAAACTGCAAAATCACAACAACCAAATCTGTACCAGCTTTAATATTAATATGTTTTTTAATGCTGCGTAACAGTTACTCATCAGCACTGAAGTAAAGGAAATTTTAATGAGATCTATCTTTTATCCAACATCATTTACAAGGTTGTTACTTGGAGGAAATTAGTGTGGTTTCTAGCTTTGATGTAGCAGTGTAAAAAAAAACAAAATCCAGATATTTAACTAGTGTTTAAAAGGAACTGAAACTTTCCCACAACCCATCCCAATCATCACCACTGGTTTATGAGAGAAAACCAGTTTACTCCTAGTCCTGCTAAAGGTTAACCTTAGAAAAGTGCGGGCAGCAGAGCAGATGAAAAGGGCCAGCTGCACTTGCTCCCTGTTCAAATGAAAAGCTGCCATTCACTGCTCCACCATAAGCACACTGGTGTTAATTGGAGGGTGTCTGCTCTTAAAATATCCCCTTATCTTAAGTAATAATTTGATTCACCATTCATCACGTTAGGTGGGACTCCTTTGAATATGACTCCTAGTTGCCGAGGACATCTGATACCTAAGATGACTGAAGCCCCGGTGTCAGACTGAGACAAATGCCTCCCTCTTTGCTAGGACAGTTGGAGGTGTTCCTTGGAAACACCCACAGGTGACATATAATGCCAGCTGAGAAAAGATGGGTAAAAGATGCTAAAAAGAGAGAGTTCTTTCCAGAACTGATTTTCACTTTATGTGGCAGTGGAAGCCAAAACAGATGTGAGATTATTAGAATAGTTGTATTTTTTGGCTAAAGTCACTACAAATAAAAATGTGAGTTTTTCGCTAGCATGCAAACAAAACAAGTTGTTCAGTAAAAAGAAGGAAAAGTTTGTTTTAATTTCTCAGGAGGTAGAAACAGCTGATCACTCGTGTGATCAGTCACTACATCAGAGAAGATTTAAAACGGCTGTTAACATCTAACCAAATAAGTATTTTTCTCTTTAGGATCAACAAACACTTAAATTAACCTAGAATCTATTTTGTTAAAGGTAGGAATGTTTTTTCTCCCAAATATTGGGATAGTGTGCATCAACATTTTCAGACAAGTCAAATCAAAATTCAAATCACTGCATGCTGATTTAAACATGGCCGATGTTTGGTCAAAGATAAGAGGACACTTTGATCACTTTGTTGGCCACTCTTTGAGACAAGGCTTCCGTTCTTGAGTAGATTCTATTCTCTCTACTCAAAGGGTTGTTGCCCAAGAGCAGTATTTCCTGTATGTGCTTTAACTGGCAAAGTATTACAGACCATGCAGTACTTTATAATCTATTCTATCTTATCTTAAGCTGCTTTGTTTCAAAAGATAACATTAGCCCCGACTTCCTCTGCTTGCAACTCTAAACTCTGACCGACCCTTTAGAAGGACACCTAACATCCTAATCTTAAAGTATTTTATTCACCCATATACTAAAGCAATCTGTATCTGAGCTAAAGAGTTAGAAAATCACACGCTTGTCTTTAAGGTTATGTCAAAACCTACAAACATGTTGGGTCTCTGGTAAAGATAAATGCTACAGTTTAACAATGTCTGGCGAAAAGATGCTAAGTTAGCTAATTACAGTTTTAGTGCAGAAATAGTAAAACAGTTACGCAGCAAGAAAATAGGGGCTTCAATTAGCTCCATTGAAGATGTATGCTGGACTGTGAAAACACTGTATGGTAATTCTATCCTTTATCCCCTTTATTGTGCTGATTAGTGCAGTGGGGGAAGAGTGCTCTATCTAATCTGATCACAGAGTATTGTGTTTGGGGTCATTAACCTATGGGAGGTCCTAAGGTTGACAAGTCAGCACCAACCCCCCTCTACCTTCTGTATGGAACTCGCTCATCCTTAAGTTCCTCTGTCTCTGCATACAACAGCAACCTCAAGAACATCCAGCCAAAACAAAAGACACGAGGAAAAACAGCCAGTGGAGCCATTAGCATGACTTGTCCTTCTTCTGCAAACACACAACCCAAATGACTACCGACGAAGACCCCTGAGCTTGCCCAAGCAGCAGGATGGCCCCTTTAGTCTCTGTAGTTGTTGGTTCTTTTCTTTCGCTGGCCTACATTTGAGTCCCAAGAGATGAAGAAGGTCAGCCTGTCCCTCAACATCTGGGATCTGCATCAGAAAAGACTTGGGCCCAACCGCATGGCGTAGTAGCGATAATGCCCGTGTTTCAAATCACTAGTGTATACGCAAAGACTCCACGAGCCCTATCAGTCAAAGCTTCCTCTTGCTGACCAATTTGGGAAAAACCATAACACATTTATGCAGCAGCCCACGGCGATGAAATCCAACATCAGTCTAAATTTGTCCTTTCACAGATTTGTGCTTTCAGCCACAAAGCGGATTTCTATTCCTGTCACATTGATTACGTTCTTCACAAATCAAAAATGTGAATTCTCCAACACAACTAACAGCACCTCTAAGTCAAAGTTGAACTCTTGATATTCTAAAAAGCTGCCAGTCAGTTGGGTAAGACAGGGATAAAAGGCCCAGAGCAAAGATCTCTGTTGATTGCCTGGAGAAGTTGAATATGCAAATAAAGCAGAGGGTAAATGAAAAACAAAGCAGGGGTTTTGGCAGCCGCCTTTTACATGTTACCATTAATTTCACGTTGGTCGGGGACATGGAAAGTCTATGAATAAAGAATATGCATCATAGCATATAAGCAGAGGTCCCTATTTTCTCCTGTGACCCCCTGAGCAGTTGGAATGTACTGACTTCCGCACAGGGTGAAGAATGAACAGTACATTAAAGAGCCAAATAAATACAAAAATGAGGAGGTGAAAACATAACCATGACACCAAATTACACGGCAACAATCTGACTGTTCATGTGTGCTGGCAGAGTTTGGAAAATAGGGCAAAGCCAACCAGCTGCAAGCCCCGTCCACTGACTACAGCATGAGTGAAAAATTAAATCAATTATCTGTTTGAATGCATGTCATGCAAGACAAAAGCCGGGGTTTGGACAAGTCCGATAGAGGCCAAGACCAAGTGCAACCTGAAGCGCTGCTTAGCTGCCACAAGAACCAAAACAGCTTTAAGTTAGCACAGGGCAAAATCAAAAGGCAGAACAAAGTAGGAAAGAGTCTTAGTGTTGCCTGAACACACACGAGACAGACAGACTGCTGCAAGTCCATGGAAAAGGAGAGCACCTATTCCCTCGAACAAAAGACCAGCAGGCCAACAGATTTTCTCAGGTCTTGAGATAACAGAAACCCAACACCGTCGTTCTCCAGTGGGGCTCTTTGTACGTCTAAGAGCGGGTCAATCAGCAGCCGCTGACAGATGTGTCTGCTGTCGATTTAGGAGAGGAAGCCATGTTGAGGTCAGACACCAGTTTCTCTGCTCCGTGCCCATGGAAGGAAGATATGGATCAGGTCAGGATGTCCAGGCGTGACCTTTTGTCACTTCAGTCTTTGACAGGCCACACCTGCATTTTTGACGTTGGGTTCCACATCAAGTACTTTTCTTGTTTTCTGATTTACTTACAAATACACATTGTAAAGGCAGAGTATGTTGTACTCGTTCAGGAGTCCCTTTGTGTTTGGAATAAAAGTGAGAGTCACTCCAGCTGGAAAGCAAACAAACAGAAAACCTCTGGTGGAGGTCTGAGTAGCTCTGGCAGATGCTCCAGGCTTAAGTGTCTGTTAAATTGGGCACTCCAGTTAAGATGGCAATCGTGGTTTTAACCGTATGCTTATGTGTTAAAACTGAAGTTGGATCACATTCTGTCCCTGGCAAAGTGTGAGCATGGGATGTCAGTCATGGTCACATTTTACTATTGTGCAGTTCTCACTATGTGCTGAGGCTATAACATTTAGAATAATAGAGAATAGACAATAGGAAAAACAGAGCAAAGAGGCTGCTAGATTTTGTGCATAGCTTGTTTTAATGGTGACATTAATGTATTTTAGCACATATTATCACTGCAATATTTGGTGTTTACAAAATGTCTGTAAATTCCTTTCTGTGAAAACAATATTCAGGCTGAGTCTAGATCACAGACTCCTGCCTTGGCCTTTTTCTCCTTTTTCTTCTTAGCTGTCGTTAATTATCACAGGGCTGTTGCTCTGTCTTGACAAATACAAGCATTTGATATTTTAGTATCCCCAGAGCAAATGAATAAAATCTCTCTAATAAACCTGCTGTTTACAGAAAATTAATGCAGACCCTCCAGGCAATTCAAAGCCGAGTAGTCAAATAGGCTGGAGGTAATTAACAAAAGGCAATAGAAAACGACACGTGAGAAATGGCTCTCCACGCTACACTGTAAGCCGTATACGTCACAGAGATTTTATCCCCACTGGCATCAACAGGAAGATGATATTCAACAACAGATGAACAGAGTGGCTCCAGTGCAGCTCAACGCACAGGACTGTGGTGACTTGTCAGGTAGCCAGAGGGGAAAACGCTAGATATGACGCAGGCCAAGAGAGTGTTGGCTGGCTGGGTCAGCTCTGCTGTACAACCCTTTACTAACAGACTGAATCACCGGAGCTTTGGCCCCCAAGGGAACCTAACCTGTGGTTTGACTTTATTTAAACATTAAACCACACATGGACAAGAAACTTAGGTACATACAGCAACTTATGTCCATCTTGAACCAGTGCCTATATATGCTATATCTACACACAGGTTTACATCCATAAAAACAACATTTGTTTCAGAATTAGCTCTAAATTCTAGTCATGAATCCATCAAATATGCATTAACTTCTGAATTTAAAACATGTCTGGTGCGTGCTCCATACGACTAAAGGGCAGGGCTTTCACAGCATTTTGCATGCAATTTCAAAGTTGGTGGGGAAAAAGTGACTAAAACAATGACATACTAATATGTATGTGTGCATGTGAACACGTTTAGTGTGTATTTATTTTTTCGATTGGCCGTGTTTCCCTCTTTCCTCCACTCCCCCTAGTGTACTCTGGCAACACTGCACCCTCGTCTCCAAAACAGAGGGTCGGGGGGGTGGGAGAGGAAGAGAGAGAGGGATAGAGAGAGAGGAAGGCCCCTCCTCTAGATGACATCAGTCGTCTATTGAAGCAAAGCTGGAGGCACACACAACTCCACATTTGTACTGAGGTCCACCCTTGCACCCATGTCCTCGCACAGCCCGCTGATTGTGTGTGTGTGTGTGTGAGGGGGGTACCAGTAAACACAGCAGTGCTGCCGCAGATAAACTCCAAAAAGCTCTACCGTTGTGAGTGAAAGGAGCTTGCCCCCCCTCCCCTTTTTTTTTCTTGGATCTGCATTTAACGCTGCATAGCCCTGGATTGGATTATCATTTTCTGATTGTGCTTTAAAAGGATACCTGTTACTTTCCATTTTGGGTTGATTAGAGAGGTAAGTCCGTTTTTTGCTGGTACGGTCCTTTTAGGAGTGTTTCCTTTTTGCTTTTGGATCTCTCTCTGACAGGGGGCGTTTAAAGTGTTGCGGAATACTCTGGAGTTCTAATCGCCGTCTCCCTTATATCCCCCCATATTCTCGGCCCAGGCGAATAAAAATAACGGGGTCTCTCTGAAGTGATTTCGTAAAACCCACAGTAGGCTACCAAAATTCGTGAGCGCACTTTCCCCCCCAGCCGGCTGCGTGGAGCCCCTCAGTGAGCAGTGCACATCATTCCGATCAACTTGGCGGCTAAAATCCACACTTGACTCAGTTCCCTCTCCGTCTCTTTGCCCCTTCGCGGAGCTGCAACTTGCTGCTTCGATGCTGCGTCCCTGGTAGTTTTAGCGTGTCCAGCAGAGCACACATACAGCAGCTCTGACTTCCCCAACATTTCAGATTTCTTCGTGATTCCATCTATCCTCGAACCCAGTGAGATCGAAATATGTGCGCACCACTCTGGTCAGCAGCAGGGATCCCTCAAATCGGTTCACTTCACTCAGTTCATTTCAGCTTCTTCTTTTCTTTTTTTCTTTTATCTTTAATTTTCCTGGCCGTCTTGAGCAAGTGGGAAAAGATAAGAGCTGAATATGCGAACTGGAGGGGATTAGAGGGCTGTCTGGTGTAGCCTCGGTGGCGCAGCGGTGAAGAAACCCCGGCGCGCGGCTGGAATCGCGGCGCGGAGCGCGGGGCTGGACATAAAGGGGCAGCTGGAGAGAATCCGCTCAGAGCGGTCCGCCGCCGCTGTCTGCACCACTCCGATCAATTAGGATTCACACACAACACCGATTGATTCTCACCAGAAGCTAGAAGCTTGTTATTTTTCCCCTCGGAGAGGGTGGAGGAAAGTAAATTAAAGTTTAATGCACACCATTCTAATAAAAGTTGCCCTCGTTTGACAGAGGATTTAGCTCCGGAATAACATTCCAACACAAATCAGCCGTGCGCCGCAGCTCCGGTACAACTGCTCCAGGAAGCACTTAGAAATCAAAGCGGTGCACAGGGTGAATGTACGAGCTCAGATGTGGAACCGGCAGCGGGTTTTTCTTGTCAGTCTGTGATGCTAGCCAGTCCTACCATATTTTCCCCTCGCACAAACGGATATGTATCCCATTAGAGCGGGACAATAACGTGGAATACCTATCGGCGACACCAGGGCAGGGACAGTTGTTAATCCAATTTAACACAGCCTTTTATCTTCATAGGACGATCAGGTCAACCTGGCTTTAAATAATGGCTCATAGGCTATATATACAGCATGATTTCAGGACATCAACAGCTGAGATAATATTGAAACTGTCAAGCAATGTCATGGCAGCTTATTGTTATCAACTGTGGATAGAAAAAAACAGCCTGTTAAACATGGCAGACATGAAGACAGGCCCAGTTCCTCAGTGCTGAGAGCCTGAGGCGAAAGTCCCCAGTCCCTTGTTTTCAGAGGGAATTCATGAGGAAGATTAACAGCTAACCAGGTCACTAGCAACTTAATTTTTATGAGACTAGAGAATTAAATGCATGAAATCTATCTGACTGATCTGTCTGTCAGGGTAAAACATACGTTCATGACATCCAAGAGATTCGTCAGTGTAAACACTGTACCCCGAGGTGGCCTAATTCAGTTCTTCTCATTATTTTTTCAGGAACCAAACCGTATTTTCATAATATAAACAAAGCTTTTTGAGACAAACCCATTTATTTTTGTAATTATAAGTTATAGTACAAATGAGCCGAACAGCTTCTACAGAGAGAGAATGACTGGTGGATGTTCTACTGGGGAGGTTAACAAATCCTTTTATTTTGGGTAGGTGTCTGGCCTGAGCTGAGATAGGCTTCTGCAGCTTAACATAAGCATTCATGTCTTGGTGTTTGCTTGTCACAGACACACATTCATTTTATCTTGCAGTGCCTAACACCCCCATGTGGGGAAAAACAATTGCAGCTGCTACAGATCTCTCCTTTCAGGCAGCTACAAAAGAGAGTCCCCCAGTCTGTCCCAGGCCTATATGCCCTTAATGGACCCCCAAAAGTATCATCTGTTCAGACCATCTATAGACAGCACCAGGAGGCCACACACCAAATTTGTGAAACTCAGATTTTCACTATTTTCTCTTTGGCTGAAACATGCTGTGTTTCTGTGACCATGAATGTTCCATTGTGTCTCGACAGCACAGTAGGCCTATACCAGGTGTTTAGAAACATAACTTATTTTAAGAAGTAATAAATTGAGACACGAGGATTCAAATCTTACAGAAACGACAAAAAACTAACATCTCCCCAGCACATAAAATAATATATATTTTTTAATAATACTTTTTATCTGCTATGGGCTACCTCTACCCACCTAAATCAAGAGCATTTACATTTATTTCCACAATTTTACATCGACGATTACTTATTTAATATAAACTTATCGTCTTGACCATTGATATTTAAAAAGTACATTTTCAGGACCGTAATCTGTAGAAAGTGCAACCAACAACAACTGGATTTTGTACAATGAATCATGACTCCAAATTGATATTGTAAATTAGAGTGAATATTAACACCACATACAAACAACACTGATTTCCCTATGGAGAGACCTACTGTGGTTCAAAATTAATTTCAGGGCTCATGAATAATTCAGCAGTCATCCATTACAACTTCTACAGCTCTTTTTCCCTAAATGCAGCCTATGTAATATTATTTTATATTTTACCGAACTGCAAGTCATTATAATCTGCAGTACTTTTGACAGGCATGAAATTGTTTCTATGAGTTTTTTTTTTCTTTTCTAAAGCCTTTCTTGTGCCGTGTATGACTTGGGGGCACAGAGTCTCGGGCCCTGTTATTGCAGACTAATGTGCATTTATGCGTGTTCAACTCACAATGGCTATCAGTGTCCAGCTTTGTGTGAGCCTCCTACGCTTTCTGCTGAAAGGTATCAGGCTGTACACACACACGCACAGATTTTTTTTTATTTTGGGAAGGGGTGCTCAATTTAACTTTGCCAGTTCAGATTAAATTAAGCGGGATCCACTTTGACTGCAAGAGAATTCCCCTGTCCTGCCAGCAGAGCTTATTAGAACGATGCAGAAAGACATCCATCACTAAAAATGTTTAACTCAGCATCTATTTGCTCTCAAAATGATTGTGTGCACAGAAATACGTTAGTGCCTGATTTGTGAGGATTTATATTATATTAAATGCAATAAGAGGATTCTCTTAATGCATTGTGAAAACTAGAGGATTTTTTAAAAATTGCCTTTCTTTTTTAGGGGGGTGGAAACTCCCTCTGTGAGGCTACACGGTCCACTTGCTTGGTGCTTGCCTTGTTGAAAACAATGGAGAGGGGCCACTCTCCTCGAATCTGAGAAATATGGTCAAAGGTGTGTGTGTGTGAGTAGGGGGATTATCTAGCAAAATATGTTTCTGTTTAAAATAAGGTGTTATATTCAAAGCTGGCCACTAAAATGATAGAAAAATAGGTCAAACATAATACTAAAACCTCAGCTACAATATATTTTCAAATGAATGTCTCTTTTCCGATTAACTCGACATTGTTCCAGACTGTTTTCTAATGTAACAGAAATATTGTAATCAAAGAAAGGCATGTTGATGTGAGCTTCTTCTACTGAAAAAGATCAACCTTAAAAATGTCGCTGTACCAAGAACAGATAGCTTTCCTTAGTTTGCCTGATGAGACAGAAGATCGACGATATCCATTTCTCTTTCATACAATAGGAAACTTTTAGGAATTCAAATCAAGACTTCTACCTAGCTATAACGAATGAGGAACTTTTAGGTGAAAATTACTATTTAAAATTGAAGTAGTTTTACAAAGAGCTACAAAAAGGTCTGTTCCAATAGACAGCACACGTTCCTCTATCACTTTACCATTTTCTAAAAGTCCATTACATTGTTTAATCTTTTTTCCCCTTGTCAGATTCCTTTATTCCATAAGTTCGCAGAGGTCGCATCTGGTGCTTTTTCCCCCCAGACTCTAATCTGCTAGTAATGTAATACTGGACTGGCCTGAGTTTGGATGGAACATACGGAGGGGGGTGTTATTATGAGACAGCATCGCAGGAGTTGTAATCAAGTTACAAGCCTCTCAATTCCCCATCTTCTCCTTGTCATGGGTTACAACTGTTAAACGGCTGGGTCTCTTGCTCCTGATTTACCTTTGAATGTTTTACAGCACACTCTGGCAGCCAGCAGGTCACATGGATGGCTACACATTAGGGCTCTAAGCTATTGTGTTGTAAAAGGAAACATAACATTTCTTCTTCTATTTTTAAAAACATTAACAGTATTCGCAGAGTTTAATGGCAGCATGGAGTAGGGTTAGGGGATCACACAGAGTGGTCTGGCATGTCAGGGATAGAAGCAACAGCCATCCTGAGCTTCATTCGAAATTCAAATAGGCCTCATTTGTCATGGGGGTTTTCCACATCTGAATAATTCACTAAGATCTGACAAGATATGTTTTCTTCTCATTCATAGAATCTAAACCTGTCCTGTTTTCAAACTAGCCGACACTTCTTCAACCTCCAAATCACAAAGCTAGTTCTGCTGTAAAATACGTGAAACTCTGTAATGCACTGAACAGTAGTCTGAAGGGCAAAGGGGCTCCACCCTCAACTATTGTTGAGTTCAGGGTCCAATCACAGTTTCTGTATGCACAGACATTCTTATGTCTATCACCATAGAAAAGAAATGTGGTCTGAATCCAAGTAGCTTTAAAAGGTCAACGGGCTTAAACATAGAAAAGAGGAAAGGGGTATTCATAATACAATATCCCAAAGTATGGCAGGGGAAAAGATCAGTATCAAACACATATAAACACAAGATTTCTCCAGAAACAACATATAGCTCTGCCACAGTTATACATTCAATTCTGTGACTCAAATGAATAGTAGCATTGAATATGTGGAATATGTGGACATATACCTGCTCATTCGTTTAAAGTAAATTTTATAGCATTAGTATTATAATTAAATAATGAAAAAAGGACACTAATTGATACTCTTTTGGTTATTTTTCAGAACAATATCTCTGGTGAGATCAGGATACATGATGGCTCCTGCTGCAAATGAATGAGAGAGACCAGGCACCGAGGGAGAAGAGAATTCTGCCTTTTTGCTCCCTACAGAAGAGGAGGACAGTGGTTATCTGCTTGAGGAAAAGGAACTAGAGCCTCGGATTAATGTGTATACAGGCTCAACAAGGGAGCAGAGGATTCTGGGTTACCTGAAGACGTGGACTACACAGGTGAACAGGCCTGGCTGGATTGAGCCTGTGGCAGAGAGGATTGGCATGGCTCAGACCAGCTTTGTGTCAACTCATCATGCCTCCCAGGCCTGATGGCAGACAGGAGCATTTTCTAAAGATCAAGCCCTCCAACACAAGGATAACTACACAGCAAAAAACAAATCTAATTTGCTGCTGTGGCTGTTGATCTTGACAATTGCATCAGTCATTAGGATTTTTATTATCACCTGAGAGTGCATGCTTTTTTTTTTGTGTGAGAGTGGATTTTTTTATGCAGGCTTATCTGTCATGGTAAAGGCATTGAAAACATGAGCCTCTGACAACACTGGGGAGGTCATCGTCCAAACAAGGATCAGCTCAGCAAATACTGACCAGGTCAGGATATCACAAAAACCCTTTGGCCAAACTTTCCCTTTCAGAGAGGATAACAGCTAGTTCAAGAGGAAATCTTGATTGGATTTTTGGAGACTGGAAAGGATATACCCCCCTTTTTAAAGCAGGTATGGCAAATACAGATGGCTTTGCACCTTTCAACTTTACACACCAGACAACCATTTTCAAAGGTTTTGCAGATCAAGAGGCAGAAATGAATAATTCAAACTTTAATTAAGCAGAACCGTAAACCATGTGTAAAATAGTAACTAGTTACTTTCAGTTTAGTATCTTTTTGGTGAAGTAATTGAAATTTAAAAAATCTTACTGAAAAATTAAGTGCTGATTTCATGCTGTAAATAAACTTTTACTACACTTTGTGATAGTGTTCTTACCAATATGAAAATGAAAAGAAGTCTTTGAAAATGTGTGTAACAACTCAGCACTGTTACTTCTGTTAAATCAGCTCCCCAAATTCAAAAGGTCTTGACTATCCAGGACTTTTTAATGGTAGTATGAAATACTTTATGTAGGAAGTTGCGTTGTTTTTAAAGGCTTAGTATTAAGAAATCTTTATATAAGTTAATGTTGAAAATCAGTGCAAAGTAAACACACACTTATTCTTGTTGCGGCTATTTGATCTCAAAAGTACAATAAGCAACCTTAAAAAACATCAATAATGAAGATACCAGTTTTAGTTGCATTTATATGTTTTCAGCTCTAATGCACATTTCTGTATTTTTGTAGGGGCACGTGAATGAAAAGACAAGACACATCTCCAAGATGGTACATCAAGGAACGTCCTTCATCCTCCTCCTCACCAGGGTTGGGCTACTTCTAGGTCTTGCTAACCCCTTGGTCACCTCAGCCTTGTGCCCCTCAGTCTGTCGCTGTGACGGTACCTTCATATATTGTAATGATCGTGGCCTGACTTCCATTCCAACTGGTATGCCACAGGACGCCACAGTGCTCTTTCTGCAGAACAATCGTATAAAGAGTTCGGGCATTCCTGCAGAGCTCCGCAGACTCTCAAATGTGGAGAAGATCTACCTTTACTGCAACAACTTGGATGAGTTCCCCACCAACCTTCCTCTTGGGCTAAAAGAGCTCCACCTTCAGGAGAACAACATTCGTATGATTACCCATGCCTCTTTAGCCCAAATTCCCTACATTGAGGAACTACACCTGGACGATAACTCTGTATCAGCTGTGAGCATAGAGGATGGGGCCTTCAGGGACAGTAATCAGCTAAGATTACTTTTTCTCTCCAGAAACCACTTAAGCACCATCCCCTCAGGCCTGCCCATGAGTATTGAGGAACTGCGCTTTGATGACAACCGCATCTCCTCCATCTCAGAGCAATCACTGCAAGATCTCATCAACCTGAAACGACTAATCCTTGACGGTAACCTGCTCAACAACCGTGGCATTGGGGAGATGGCTTTCATCAACCTGATCAACCTGACTGAGCTGTCATTAGTAAGAAACTCTCTGACATCACCTCCAGCTAACTTGCCAGGCACCAGTTTGGAGAAGCTGACGCTACAAGATAATCACATTAATCGGGTTCCTCCTGGGGCTTTTGCCTTCCTTAGGCAGCTGTATCGCCTGGACCTGTCAGGTAACAACTTGAGCAGCCTTCCACAGGGTGTATTTGAAGATCTGGACAATCTCACACAGCTCCTGCTGCGCAACAACCCCTGGCAATGCACTTGCAGAATGAAATGGGTGCGTGACTGGTTAAGGTCGTTACCATCAAAGGTAAATGTACGTGGCTTCATGTGCCAGGGTCCTGACAAGGTCAAAGGCATGGCGATTAAAGACTTAACAACAGAAATGTTTGACTGCAAAGACTCAGAACTCTTCTACACGTATGAGACAAGCACAGTCTCGAACACTTTACACCCATCACAGCCCCAGTGGCCCTCATTCGTCACAAGAAGGCCCGTGGTAAAAGGGCCTGACTTCGGTAAGAATTACCACAGCACCACCACCGCTTCAGGCAGAAAGGTCATCACCATCAGCGTGAAGTCAAGTAGCACAGATGCAATACACATATCGTGGAGAGTGTCACAACCCATGACTGCCCTGAAGCTCAACTGGATAAGGATGGAGGCCTTTGGCTCCATCACGGAGACCATAGTTCAGGGGGAAAGGACCGAGTATCTCCTCACTGCCCTTGAGCCGGATTCTTCATATAGAATATGCTTGGTTCCCATGGAAACCAACAACGGACACACGTCAAATGAGGGACGTGTTTGCATCGAAACAAAAACTGGTTCTCACAGATCGTACAACCCAACGACAACTTTAAACAGAGAGCAGGAGAAAGAGCCTTACAAAAATTCAACTCTGCCTTTGGCTGCTATCATTGGAGGTGCTGTGGCTCTTTTGGCAATAATCATGCTAGCACTGGTGTGCTGGTATGTTCACAGGAATGGCTCACTTTTTTCCAGGAACTGCACCTACAACAAAGGCCGTCGGAGAAAAGATGATTATGCTGAGGCTGGCACTAAAAAGGACAACTCCATCCTAGAAATAAGAGAGACTTCTTTTCAAATGATACCTATAAATCACCTGCCTGTGTCCAAGGAGGAGTTTGTGATACACACAATTTTCCCATCTAATGGCTTGGGTTTATACAAAACCCCACACACTGAGAACAGTATCAACAACAGGAGCTATAGAGACAGTGGAATACCAGATTCAGACCACTCCCATTCATGATAGCGCACACAGACATTCACCATGAGTGTGACTGAACCAGAATTGCAGACGTTTTACAAAACACTGGATCTATAAGACTAAGGAAGCAATGTTCTGTACATTTGCCATATAATTTATATTTAAGGACATTTTATGAAGATGGAGAACGTTCCAGTTGCAGGCCATCACTGAACCATCAGTGGGTAACTCACTGCAATTCTATATTTTAGGCATTTGTAGTAATTTGTACTGTATTTCCTTTGCTTAAGGTTATCGACCAACAAAAGAAACTCTGTGTTCTATTAAGATATGATGACTTGTCAACTGTGAAAGTGGGTTTTCATTGCTGTGTTAAACAATCAGACTTTAGAAAACCTTGTAGTATAAGCACAGGTCATTCTTTTAACTTTGTGGCTGTCAGAAAAATTAAAAAGGCAAAAAAAAATGATTAAATTAATAACATGACAGTAAACTACGGCACAGATGATAAACAAATTCACAAAAACAGGCATGTTGCCCTCTGAAAGAATGAGCAGTCAGTAGCCATCTCTGCATATTAAGGACCAAGAATTTACTGTAGTATTCACCTAATGAGGAGTTTTGAATGACCAAAAATGAGGTGCCATTATTCCTATATCTGCTTTGCTCATTGTGTTACTTTGCTCTGTTTGCAAGAAAACTAAACGATGCAAAGCAGGGTTATAATGTTTCTCATAAGATTGTAGGCCACAGCACAGGGCAAATAAAGCACATCCACCTTAAGGAACTCTCTGCTCCTCAAACAAGTAGACAAGTCAGGCGTAAACAGAGGACCCCCCCCCCCACCAACTTTATTTGTAGAAGCCAACAATGGCCAAATGACAATGGCGGCATTCTTTAGTACCATGTACCATACGTCATTTTAGTCACCAGGCCAAAAAAAGACTACCCATGTTGGCTTCTAAAAGAGATTAACGCCAGCGTCAGCAACTCCTTGAGTATGAGTATTGTTTTGTTTAATTTTCGAAATGAAGACACAAATGTTGCCACAATTTGAAGTTAACAGTTCCTTACTATTAAAAACCAAAGTGCATTGTATGCCCTTTGGCCAGTCTTGTATGTGCCTTGATCTAATGCTTATTGTATTTAGCTTTTTAAGAAACCAGTGACTTTTTTTCATACACACTTGAATATGAAAAATATTGGTCATATTACAGAATAAAAGTGGACGAAAAAACGTACTCTGTTCTGTCTTACCTTTAAACAAAACCACAGTCAAAATAATTTTTCTGTATGAATTTTGACTGCTGTCACGGTATCTTTTGCTTGTTATTACTTATTATTAGAACATTCCTATGCACGGACATCAAAGTGCTGAGTAAAAAAAGAAGAGTGCAGGGAATCAATTCTATTGATTCATACTCAAAATTACCCACTCAGCAGGCAATCTAAAAGAGATAGAGATAAATAAATAAAAAGCGTTTCCATTTTATCCCTGTTTGACATCTGAGGAAAATCTCTTTTACAACTAGGAACTTTATGAAGGTAATTCAGAAATCCTTCATGTGCAGTTTTCCACCGCATGGGCTATATACGGAGCAACATCTGCTGGAGGGTCCTGTTGTTCTTTCGTGGTGTGAAGTCATGTGTAACTCACTCAATGAGCCAGAGGGAGAAATATCATGGTGGAGCAGATATTGGGCTGTGGGAACACTGTACTCCAGGGTTTCATTAACCTCCCAGGCACCAGGGAAACAGAATCCCAACAAGCCACCATATGGACGTGATACAGGCAGACCCTGCAGAGGATCCCCATATCTGCAAAGGACAGTGGTTATATACTGCTCCAGGCAGCACACTTAATGACATGGTTGCATCTCACCCCAGTCAATGTCCACGAAAAGGTACACCAGCAACAGCAGTGAAATGGGATATTAAACCATTTTACACATGCAAGCAAAACAGCACTTGAAGGCCAATGTTTTGCTTATGCATTGCAGATTATACTCACAGGTTTCTGACAGCTCTCCTGAATAAAAGTGCAATATTTTATAAGTATTCAGTTTGTATCAAAAAAGTATCTCATGCCACATTCACACACCCACAGGCTCTTAACTCTGTGAAAGTTTTAATTAGAGCACAGAAGTTGCATTAAGCAGCAAAAGTGTTCCAAACCTAAAGTATACAGTAACTGTGGCCTGCACACTAAGTATATATGACACTAACTGGAAATCTACGTTTAGAGTCTAGTTTTAGAATATTGGACAGTCAAAGTCGGCACATGAAGGTTGAAAGTTTGGATGTTTCGCCTAAAAAAACCCTGTCTTATCTTGTTTTATAAATTAATCCTGGGTGAAAATCATAAAAATCTTGGACTATAACAGGATAGGACTAGATTGTTGTGCTATGAGCTGTTTTCACATTATTCAATATAAGTATCACAAAGTGATGTGAATCACTCTGAGGTGTCTATTTCTTAAGTAACAGGAAAACCTGTTGATGTGTTTTTAAGCATTGTTTTTAAGCCAAACATGGTCTATCAATGGCATCAGTGCAGTTATTTTGGGAATGAAATGGGTTTGTAAGACCGGCATATGATAATCGCTTTAAAGAGTTAAGAATGAGGGAGCCACAACCCTGATAGATTACAGTTTAGCTAAAGGGTCATAGGAGCATCCCATTGTTTCAACTTCCCTTGAAAAATAGCTTATAAAATGGAGAAGCTTTTGGGCATTCTGGCTGACCCAAGTATGGGACAAAATTAATGAAGTAGCCCTGCGTAACAACCTGGTGTGTCTTCACTTATCACTCATGACCTTTAACCTGTCAGTCCTTTTACACAATTCTTTAATCGCTCTCAATTCCTCAGTGAGGTCAGAAAACACCCTAAACAAAACAAGCTGCCCCAATGCATTTGTCTCGTTTGTGACACACAGAACTTAATGATGTTTTTTCTTTTATGGAACGCTAATGGGGGCAGCTGCACTGTCTGTCCCGAGCACCTCTTTCTCCCATTGTAATGACTGGTTAGGCAGCCGGTCACATTTGCATTCCTATAGATGTGATGATGAAAGTACTCCTAGATGACCTCAGCATTGCCAGTAGCTGTGTATGGGTTTTCTCCATCAGCACCATAAGAAGAATCAAGAAGTACAGGCATGTAACGCTATGACTGATTAGACGTCAGCAAAGTCAGGTCAGATGCAGTTCAAAGATCTCAAGGGATGAAAAGTTGATGTATATCAGTGCCTACAAAATATAGGCTCTCACCAGAGACTGAAAGGCAACCTGTCCACTCTGCTCTACTAAAGAAAGTACTGGCGTTTTTGCATTTTAACAGAAACGTAAAAAAAATGTAAATGCACTTTGAAAAACAAGTCAAATATTTCTCTACTAATTTAATTGCTTGCAGAAGGCAGTTAGCCACAGATTGAAAAGTGTGGATCAATGAACGCTTTTTATGAGGTATTTCCATTTGAGAAGGTTAATCATGTTGATGTGACATGCTTCAATAAGACACTTCTACGCTGCATAAATTCATACTTACAGAAACGTTTGAAAATACTGGAAATATCCATGTTAAATATTCTACTAAAAAGTCAAGTCAGAGATGGTTAATAGAGTTGAACGTGGTGTTCTGAAGGAGTTTGACCCAGAATAAAAACCTGCATTATTTTTTTTTCTTTACTATTAAAAATTCAAGCTTCATCACCACCGAAAAAAAGCATATATACAAAATAACCAGAGGCTCAATCAAAAGTAAAAGGCTGCTTGCACTGCGTTTCCCTCACTTTCTCACACAGCTATAATGAATGACCTTCGCAGTGTTAAGCTGTGTTGATGTCAAAAGCCACATCGAGCCGCTGTGTGAGATTGTATCTGAAAGTTTGTATCTGTAAGGTATAGAGACGATATTTTATCATTTTTACATAATTTATTCAAAATTCAAATGTATCTTCTTCAACTGTCTGCAATAATTAATTGCAATCAGACTGTCAAATGTGTATTTTTTTGTAATGCATTTTAACAGAAGGCTCTGTTTGTTTTTCAGTTCTACAGCCATCCTCATCACTAAGTTATGATTGCATTTGACAGTGAAAGGCTCATGCTAACTCATGCGAATGCATGCATCTGAGACTCTGCCTGGTTTGTGCTTAATTATGGATGTTACGGTTTCTATGATTACTTCTGCTTTCAGAGGAACCAGCCGACAAAGTTACCACGTGATAAACAGTGAAACATACTTATTGATACTCTCAGTAACAAAGTTATCTAAAGCCATCACCTCCCTTCCGCCCAGCTGTTTCTTGACCGTCAAATCTGACTCTTGGCCTAAAGCATCATTTGCCATGGCAGCGGAAGAGCGGAGGGCCAAAAACCCTGTACAGTGTGGGAGATGTCAGTGTGAGTGATGTGGCCCTATGTGGGGGTGTTGTCCTCTCTCCTCCATCTCTGACCAACTCCCCCCACCCTGCAGGCCAGGACCCTCTCCATCTCTTCACATTACTCAGTGACCTGAAACCACAAGGCCAGAAATCTTAACCAGCTCCTCAGTCTTCTTAATGAATCCAATTTCTTGCCTGAGAGCACAAGGCATGCACATATATCCATCGCAACTTGAAATTGGCTGGTATTAATATAAATTAAGGCGATACCATCAAGATTGTGCCACCCAAAAATACAACGACAACACTTCTGTTTCACTGTATGTGTACAGCAACCTATTGTACAACCAAAAAGGAAGAGTCAATAACCTCATTTCAAACAGGCAATAACCAAAACAAAATAGAATAGCTGATTAGTGTTGATGCCATTACACTATGAATTATACACAATATGTTATGAAAATATCCATATAATTGACTCTTCTTTGTGGCAGCCATTAATTTCTGTCTTCCGTTAAGAGGTTTAAATGATCTTGTAAGAGGCCATACATCTCCTGATGCCCTTTATGAGATCAACACTACGTCCCCCTAAGAACTTAATCGACCCTCAGTCTCATTTGTCTACAAAGTCTGATGCTGGGGAATAATCATTTAATTCTTAAAGGTTCCAAGGGGTCCAAGTTGTCCATTATCCCCAGCAGGTCTGTAGTAGGAGGCATGACTTCCACTTCGATCCATACGCTTCTCTCATTTATGTTAAGCCGGCTCTGAATGTCAGTACAGTATTTGCATGCCAATGGGGTACTGTCTGCAGCTCATTATTTTCAGACTTTAACAGTCTAATTGTATGCCAGTACATAGCCCACTTTTTGAACCCAATGCCAACTATGGTCAAATGATACTGCAATCAAACTACAGAGTTTATCTGCACCTGTCTCTTCTGCTTTTGTTTACCAGCTGCAAGCTGACATTATCAGATGCACCATCACAGGAGGAAACCTTCCAAGCTGATCATAAATATTGCGTTAACCAAATACAATAAATATTATTGTTGTCATACGGCAGCCATTCAAAAAGGTTTTGATTGCACAACTCAAATTGTGACTTTTTTCCTTATATGTCAGTATGGCACAGCTCAGTTGAGTTTGGCCTTCAGGCAAAGGCTCACTTTACGTTTCCAGAAAAGTTTGTCCGGCCCTTCATTCAATAAAAAGCCAACCCCCTTAACAGCTCACCTGCAGCTGACATGTGTTCAAGGTTACCAGTGTTTTGGTACTTCTCTATAATGTCAATTCAGCAGTGTCAACTTTGTACAATCTATTAATGAGTAAGTTTAAAGCTTCGTATTTCACTCTTCTCAGTCATCCCAGCATAAGATCATAATAGTGCTGCAAAGGGGTAACATCTATGACCCAGTGTGGGAAAACCCCAAACAAAGGTATTTAGATGTCACATGGACTGATTATCAGTATTGACAGTTCTAAAGCTTTGGGGAGGCATGCCAGTTGAAATGGTCGTCTCCTTCTTTCAGAGAAAATGTGATTAAAAATGTGATAATGGCATCTTTCTTCTTTAAAAATTTGGGATATAAAACTGCAATGGGTTAAGAGACTACAGTAAAAGAGATGCCCTCAACCACCACATCCAAACAGATGCCAAAAAACACCAGTTTTAGTAGGTAGGAGGAAAGAGTCAAAGGGTGAACCACGGCCAGGACGGAGGGACATGAGATTAATTAAAGGCTGCTGTCATTGTGGTGTGCTGATGACACACAGCCACACAATTACTGAGATCGCTGTGTGAGTGGAATCTGCTCCCACAACTCATTTCCTCCCTATTGAGGGGGT